TTTAAAGATTCCTTAAATAAGGATATGAAGTTCCCTAACTTGGATGTTATTTAACCTTTTAAACTAGCTTAAAATAGGATTAAAGTAGTTGGCACGTAGTCATGGTCGAAATAAAGTCCACTGAAAAGTTAGTCGCAGTTATTTTTTACAGCCATCCCATTGGTAGAGGGCTTCGGGTGTACGAATTTGTTGTAACATCAGGAGCTGAAGACTTGGTCTAGCTGCTAGTATCTCAAAATTTCCCCAAAATCACGTCGTAAGTAGATTTCCTATGTGAACTTGCAACGAAGTTCAATTCTGCCATTTCTTTGAAGGGATTTTCATGATTTCAAGCCTTCAGTAAAGTTAATATGATTTATTCATATTGTTTTTGCTTTTTACACACCTTTTCTCTTTTAAAAATATACAATTTCATAAAATTTCAATGTCTATTTATCATATTGCTTGAGCGTTAGCCGATCTAGAGTCCATACGCATAAGTAGCCCATTACGCCCATTTGGGTAATTAAAGTTCACATTATAGACAATGTTTTTATGTAAAAATAAAAATTTTTAAAATGCTATAATCAAAAAAAAATTAAAATGAAAAATGTTTACTTTACGGATCCTAAATTTTAAGAAAACGTCATACATACCTTTCTTAAAGTGCTGTATCTTGGAAACCTTCTAACGAAACTTAATGAAAATAAATTTATTTCTTACGCCTTAATATGGGCTTTAATTGTACATTTTTTACATTAATGTGCAACGTATAAAAAACAAAAAAAAATTAAGTAAACATTTTTCTTTTTGATTTTTTTTTACTATACCATTTAAAAAAATTTTTTTTTTACATAAAAACATTGTCTATAATATCAACTTTAAGTACCCAAAGGGTCGTAATGGGCTACTTATGTGTATGGGCACTAGATCGTCTAACGCTCGGCAATATCATAAATAGACATTGAGATTTTATGAATTTGTATATTTTTGCAAGAGGAAAGGTGTGTAAAAAACTATCATTGGAGGTCTAACATTCTTTTGCAATGA